AGGAAAGTGGGGTTGAGAATTTTATCATCCATGATTGAATAGTGGAACAGACTTAGTAGGCCAAATGGCCTAATTTTGCTCCTATACCTTATGATCATTTGGTCTTTATCAACTCTATGTTTTATATCCTCAAAGAACTCTAGTAAACTTGTCAAACATGATTTTTGTTTGATGAAACCACCTTGGCTCTGTTTAATTGTGTTAAGCCTTTCTAAATGTCCTGCTTTATCTTCATTAATAACAGAGACCAGCATTCTCCGAACAACTGATGCTAGGCTAACTTGCTTGTATCATCCTGCTTTACCCTCCTTCCCTTCTTGAATATGTGTGCCTGGTTAGCAGTGTTCCAATATGCTGGAACCCTCCCAGAATCCATTGTGTTCTGGAATATTTTGACCAATGCCTCCATATCTCAGCAGCCATTTCCTTTAAAACCCTTGGATTCAGGCAATCCTGTTCCAGTGACTTGTCTGCCTTTAGTCCCATTGAGTTGTTAAATATTTTGTCCTTCATGATCGTGACTATTATAAGATCTTTCTTTCCATTAACACCTTGCTTATCTGTTAGATAAGTTGGGTAACTCCTCTGGGATATTAATCTTGTTCTACGCCATGATTGCCAATGCACAATGTTGGTTTAAATTATTTACCATTTCCATGTTCCCCATTATTAATTCCCCAGTCACATCCTCCAAGGGTCCCATATGAACTTTAGCTAAACTCTTTTTATATACCCACAGAAGTTTTTGCTGTTTTTTTTTTATATTTCTTGCCGATTCACTTTCATCATCTATTTAGTCCCTATTTATTAGCTTTTTGTAATCTGCTACTGGTTCTGAAAAAAAATCCCAATTTTCTGGGCCATGGCTAGTTTTTGCTGCTCTATATGCCTTACTTTTTGATTGGATACTGTTCTTGACCTTTGTCGCCCCTAGGTGGTTCATTCTTTTCATCATGTCTTCTTTTTGACTAAAGTAGTCAATTTTCCCAGCTTGTTTTAGACAACTCTTTCTTCATTGTCCTATTTAGTTTGAGGACACAGGCTTAAGACCCAAGTTCCTCTGCCTCAAACTAAATTTGAAAATCTACCAAGTTGTGATCACTACCCCCTTAAACGTTCCTTAACTATAAGATCTCTTATTAATTCTAGCTCATTACATCATTACACCTAAAATTACCTGTTCCCAAGGTTCTGCACTGTACCACTGTAAAAACTAAATCCTTGATACATTCTACAAATTCGTCTTTCATGTTACTCTTGCCCAACTAATTTGTCTAATCAGTTTGCAGAGTCAAGCTTTGCATATCAATTGGACTGCCATGCTTACATGACTTCATTATTTCCTGATTTATATTTTGTCTTACAGTGAGGCAATTCTTCAGGGTCATATAGACGACATCCACTTCTGACCTCTTTACTTTGCTATTTCTTATTTCCAATCAGACTGATTCCACACATGATCTGTTGCACCTATTGATATTTTCTAATCATTGCTGTTCAGGGACGTTATTACACACCGCTGGACCAGGTGGGACTTGAACCTGGACCTCCTCGCTCCAAAGTAGAGAAATTACAAAAGCACAACAATAGTACAATCTATTGCACCTATGTAACTATGCATACCCGCACTGATATCTTCCTTTATTAACAAAGCTATCCTACTTTCTTTTCCTTTTTGCATATTCTTCCAGGACATCGAATACCCTTGAAAATTCAATTCCCAATTTTGGTCACCTTGCAACCATGCCTCCGTAATAACTAACAAGTCATGTTTGTGTGTTTATATATGTGCCATCAACTCATCTATCCTATCACAAATATAGTGCACATTAAGATAAAGAAATTTAAGCTTTGACTTCTGGCCATCTCTGGTTCGAATTTCTGCTGCACTCTTTTGTACATATTTCCTACACTTTCCCGTCACACCTTGATCATTATTTGCTTTTTCACAACCATGCCCTTCACGTCTCATTAAACTTCCCTTCAATTAAATACGCCTTCCCCACTAATTAGATGATGAACCCAACCAATTTAAAGACATCTACAAACTTGGATAGACTCTCTATTCCTTCAACAAAGTTTTTAATAAATATGGTGTAAGATTTAGGTCTCAGAAAAATTCTCTGGGAACACCATTTATCCTTTCCACCAAGCAGCTCAATCCTTTCATCCCATTTTCTGTCCCTTACCCTTAAATCATGTCCAACTTGTCAAAAGATTAACTCTAATTCCATGGGGTTTAAATTTTCCAAATGATCTCTTCTTTACTTCATATTAAATTGGCAGGACTTTAGTTTTGTGTTCTCCTTCCTTTTTTTTAAACAATGCAATGTTTTCGAATGGAAAATCAAAAAATTCCAAACTAATAGCATAATTCCGAAAGAAACATAGCTTTGACAGGTGTTAGCATTTAGAGTCCTAGAGATGTACAACATGGAAACCAACTCTTCAGTTCAACTCATCCATGCCAACCAGATATCATTAATTAATCTAGTCCCATTTGCCAGCATTTGGCCTATATCCTTCTAAACCCTTCCTATTCATATACCTATACAGATGCCTTTTAAATGTTATAATTGTAGCAGCTTCCACCACTTCCTCTGGCACCTCATTGAATATACACACCACCCTCTGTGTGAAAACGTTGCCCCTTTAGGCCCTTTTTAAATCTTTTCCCTCTCACCTTTAACCTATGTCCTTTAGTTTTGGACTCCCTCACCCTGGGAAAAGACCTTGTCTATTCATTCTATCTATGCTGCTCATGATTTTATAAACCTCTATAAGGTCACCCCTCAGCCTCTGACATTCCAGGGAAAATAGCCCCAGCCTGTCTAGCCTCTCCCAATAACTCAAACCTGCCAACCCTGGCAACATTCTTGTAAATCTTTTCTGAACCCTTTCAAGTTTCACAACATACTACCTATAGCAGGGAGAGCAGAATTGCACACAGTACTCCAATAGTGGCCTAAACAAAGTCCTGTACAGCAGCAACATGACCTTACAACCAATAAAGGCAAACATACTAAACATCTTCTTCACCATCCTGTCTACCTGGGACTCGACTTTATAGGAACTATGAACCTGCACTCCAAGGTCTCTTTGTTCAGAAACACTCCCTAGGATCTTACAATTAAACGTATAGATCCTGCCGTGATTTGCCTTTCCAAAATGCAGCACCTCACATTTACCCAAATTAAACTGCATCTGCCACTCCTCAGCCCATTGGCCCATCTGATCAAGATGCCGTTGTATTCTGAGGTAACCTTCTTCGCTGTCCACTATACCTCCTGTTTTGGTGTCATCTGCAAACTTAATAACCATACCTCCTGTGTTCACATCCAAATCATTTATATAAATGATGAAAAGCAGTGGACCTAGCACTGATCCTAGTGGCACACTGCTGGTCATAGGCTTCCAGCCTGAGAAGCAACCCTCCACCACCACCCTGTGTCTCCTACCTTCGACCTAGTTCTGTATCCAAACAGCTAGTTCTCCTTGTATTCCATATGATCTAACCTTACTAACCAGTCTACCATGAGGAAGGTTGTCGAACACCTTACCGAAGTCCACATAGATCACGTCCACCACTCTGCCCTCATCAGTCCCCTTTGTTACTTCTTCAAAAATCTCAATCAAGTTCATGAGACACAATTCCCTACGCATAAAGCCATGCTGACCATCCCTAATCAGTCCTTGCCTTTACAAATACATGTAAATCCTGTCCTTCAGGATTGACTCGAACAACTGGCTACCACTCATATCAGGTTCACCGGTCTATAGTTACCTGGCTTTTCCTTGCCGCCTTTCTTAAATAAGTGCACCACATCAGCCAAACTCCAGTCTTCCGGCACCTCACGTGGCTATCAATGAAAGAAATATCTCAGTAAGGGGACCAGCAATCACTTTCCTAGCTTCCCACAGAGTTCTAGAGTACACCTGATCAGGTCCCAGTGATTTATCCATCTTTATAATTTTAAGACGTCTAACATCTCCTCCTCTGGAATAGGGATATTTTTCAAGATGTCACTATTTATTTCCCCACATTATCTTCCATATCCTTCTCCACATAAACACTGAAGTGAAATACTTGTTTATTATCTCCACCATCTCCTGTGGCTCCACACATACGCAGCCTCACTGATCTTTAAGAGGTCTCATTCTCTCCCTAGTTACTCTTTTGTCCTTAATGTATTTGTAGAATTCCTTTGGATTCTCCTTAACCTTGTTTGCCATAGTCCCCTTTTTGCCCTCCTGATTTTCCTCTTAAGTATACTCCTACTGCCTTTATACTCTTCTCGGGATTCAGTTGATCCCTGCTGTCTATACATGACATATGCTTCCCTTTTATTCTTGACTAAAAGCTCAATTTCTCTAGTCATCCAGCATTCCCTGCACTTAGCAGCCTTGCTCTTCAACCTAACAGGAACATACTGTCTTTGGATTCTCATTGCCTCATTTTTGAAAGCTTCCCATTTTGGCCTTCGTCCAATTTAGAACTTTAACTTTTAGATCCGGTCTATCCTTTACCGTCACTATTTTAAAACTGATAGACTTATGGTCACTGGCCCCAAAGTGCTCCCCCACAGTCACCTCAGTCATCTGCCCTGCCTTATTTCCCAAGCGTAGGTCAAGTTTTGTACCTTCTCTAGTAGGTACATCCACATACTGAATCAGGAAAATTTCTTGCGCACACTTAACAGATTCCTGTCCATCCCAGCCCTTAGCACTATGGCAGTCCAAGTCTATGTTTGGAGAGTTAAAATCCTCTGTAATAACCTTCTCCAACTTGCACATTATCTTTTAATTCTATTGGATGCGAACCATCAAGTTTTGGAGATTTATTAACCTTAAGTCCCACATATTTTCTCCAATCCCATGTTGTCTTTCATATCCCATCAAAACGATGACAACACATACAAAATAGGTGTAGACTAGAAAAAGGTTAGATTGAACTGAAGATGCTGTAGCTGGTAATTTCATCCTATGATTTCTTTATTCAGGTTTTATACCAGCAGCACATGCTCCAGTCTACACAGCTTCAAAGCATGGAGTGCTTGGTTTTACCAGATCTCTTGCAGTAAGTATTGTAAACAATAAAAGTTAATCACCTGATACCACAAGGCCACTTCGTATTCATTAATACAGTCACTGTTGAAACTAATCATTTAGCCCAGCCCCTGTGTTTCTGCTTCACATGAGCTTCCTCCTAGTCTACTTCACTGGACACTATCAGCACTTTGTTCTGTTCATTTCTCCCTGATATATTCCTCCACTTTCCCTTCAAAGTATCTAGTCCATTCACCTCACCTCTTTCGTGTGGTTGCGGCCTCCACCTTCTAACAATTCTACGTGTAAAGAGCTTCTCCCGAATTCATTATTTGATTTGTTAGTGGTTCATTTGTATAGCTACTGTAGTTCTGAAGAAGTATCACATTTGATGTGCAACATTAACTCTGTTTTGTATATTGACCTTCAAGTTAAACTCACCACCTTGTCTATTCACCCTATCTATGGCCCTCATAATTTTATGAACCTCTGTAAGGTCACTCCTCAGCCTCCGACACTCCAGGGAAAATAGCCCCAACCTATTTGGCCTCTCCCAATAGCTCAAACCTGCCAACCCTGGCAACATCCTTGTAAATCTTTTCTGAACCCTTTCAAGTTTCACAACATCCTGCCGATAGTAGGGAGACCAGAACTGCCCACAGTACTCCAATCGTGGCCTAACCAATGTCCTGTACAGCCATAACATGACCTCCCAACTCCTACACTCAATGCACTGACCAATAAAGGCAAACATACCAAACACCTTCTTCACCATCCTGTCTACCCGGGACTCCACTTTATAGGAACTATGAACCTGCACTCCAAGGTCTCTCTTGTTCAGCAACACCCACTAGGATCTTACAATTAAGTGTATAAATCCTGCCCTAATTTGTCTTTCCAAAATGCAGCACCTCAGATTTGCCTAAATTAAACTGCATCTGCCACTCCTCAGCCCATTGGCTCATCTGATCAAGTTCCTTTTGTACTCTGAGGTAACCTTCTTCGCTGTCCACTACACCTCCAATTTTGGCGTTATCTGTAAACTTACTAACCAGACCTCCAATGTTCACATCCAAATCATTTATATAAATGATGAAAAACAGTGGACCTAGCACTGATCCTTGTGGCACACCACTGGTCATGGGCTTCCAGTCTGAAAAGCAACCCTCCACCACCACCCTGTGTCTCCTACCTTCAACCCAGTTCTGTCTCTAAATAGCTAGTTCTCCATGTATTCTATGTGTTCTAACCTTACTAACCCGTCCACCATGAGGAAGGTTGTCGAACGCCTTACTGAAGTCCATATAGATCACGTCCACCACTCTCCATGAGAGAGCAGCCCTATGTTCCTTTGGGACTATGGTGATCTTTACCCTTTTTTCTTTCTCTTTGCTCAGATACTGCCTGGTCTGCTAGTGGGCATTTGCACTGCTTCTGGTTTTTATTTCAGATTTCTTGTATCTGCTGTATTTTAATCATGGGAGAATCCTGACTGAGACTTTTCCTCCTTTCTATCTTCAGCCCAAGTGTGTAAAGGAAGTTGTAACAGGCACCCATTGAGCAGCTATCTCCCTGTTCTGATCAGTCAAACATCCACCGTATGAACAAACTAAGACACGGAAGGACTAGGAGAAAAGCAGTAATTTACCAACAAGGAGCTAATGAGGATCTCCTTTTCTTCCAGGAAGCTTCCAGCTTTGGAAATTATGGGGTACGAATAAATGCACTGTGCCCAAGCTTTGTCAACACTGAAATTCTTGAGACTGTAAACCATGAAGAAAATCTCGGAATTTTTTATCAGTTCAAGGACAATGCCAAGAATTTAATGCAGGTCTTTGGAGTGCTGGAGTAAGTCATTATTATGTATTCCTATTACTGTGCTATTGTGTAATCACCTCAGAACATAGCTACATCTGACTCTGAGTGTAGTCCATCAGATTGTCTGGGCAGAGTCAGGAGAATTTATCATGGGGAATAGAGAAAAGGTGGAAAAGCTAAATGATTACTTTGTGTCTTCACTGAAGACACAAGAAATGTCTCAGAATTAGAGATACTAGGGAGAATTAAGGAGTTGAAGGGAAACAGTAGTAGAAGGAATGGCGTGTTGGAGAAATTAATGAGACTGAAGGTTGATAAGTCCCAGGACCTGATAGGCCACATCCTAGAGTTTTAAAAGAGAGACTTGTGGATATAATCAATACATTGGTGAGCATCTTCCAAATTCTGTAGATTCTAGAATGGTTCCTGCAGATTATAAGGTAGCAAATGACTCTGAACTCTGTAAGAAGGAAGAGAGAGATAGAGAGCACAAAACAATTGCGGACCTGTTAGCCTTAAAATCAGCAGGAGAGAAAGTGCTAAAATCTAATACAAAGGATGTGACAAACAGACACTTAGTCAATAATGATCTGATTGGGCATCGTCAGCATGGATTTGTGAATGAGAAAATTTGATTAACCTATTGACGTTTTCATGAGGAGGTCTGTATCAGAATTGATAAAGGGGAGTTAGTTTTTAGAAGGCTAATAATAAAGTCTCTCCCAAAAAAAGGCACCTGGGATAGAAGGTAATGTACTGGCAGAGATGATTCCTGGGATAGCAGGACTGGCGCTTGAATAGAGATTAGATTGGTTCGGACTATATTCACTGGAGAATGATGCCGGATCTCATAAAAACTTATAAATTGCCAACAGGACTAGATAGGCTAGATGCAGGAAGGGGGATGTTCCTGATGATGGGGGTAGTCAGAAATGTGGTCACAGTTTAAGAATATGGAATAAACCCTTTAGGACTCAGATGAGAAGAAATTTATTCACCTGGAAAGTGGTGAGACTGTGAAATAGCAAAGCATAGAAAGCAGTCAAGGCCAAAACATTGTATGATTTCAAAAAGTTGAATAGAGCACTTGGGTCAAAAGAGATCAAAAGATATTGGGTAATGCAGGAAAAAGCTATTAAATTGGATGATCAGCCAAAGGGCTGAATGGCCTACTCTTGTGCCTTATTATCTATATTGCTATGTTTCTATGTTCACTGAAATCAACAAAATATTAAAAAGGGATAGTTAAGGTAATTGCAGGTAAAACATTTCTCTGGTTGTGATTCTAGAATTGGGGGCTCAATTTAAAAATGAAGGCGAAATCATTCAGGTATGAGATTAAAAGTTTTTTTTAATTCAAAGGTTTATGAGTTCTTTAGTACAGTTAGACTATAGGACCATAGGCATTACTCGTTGAATATGTTTAAAGTAGAGATTGATAGGTTTCTGATTACCAACAGTTTAAAAATACAGGGATAGTGTAAGCTAAAGTCATTGAATTGGATGATCAGCCATGATTGTATTGGATGGCAGGATGGGCTGAATGGTCTGAATGACCTACTCCAGTTCCTATATTCCTGTGTTCCTTTACCACTGAGACCATCAAGCAGTGAAGTTAAAAACATGCATTTTCTCTAGCCTCTCATACCTCCTGAGAATAGGAACATCTAAGGACACCCATTTAAGCAGCTCCATTTTTAGAATTTCTCTGTGGGGATTTAGATATCACAAACAAAGCCGCATTTGTTACCCATTGCTAATTGCCCTGGGGTGAGCTGCCTTGCTAATTGCCCTGGGGTGAGCTGCATACCTACCAAAAGAAGGCATTTGGTATGCTTGCCTTTATTAGTCAGTGCATTGAAGATAGGAGTTCGGAGGACATGTTGTAGCTGTACAGGACATTGGTTAGGCCAGCTTTGGAATATTGCATGCAATTGTGGTCTCGCTGCTACAGGAAGGATAGAATCAAAGAATCATACAGCACGGAAACAGACCCTTTGGTCCAACTAGTCCATGCCGAACATAATACCAAACTAAAGTAGTCCCACTGGCCTCCTCCTGGCCCATTTCCTTCCAAACTTTTCCTATTCATATATCCATTCAAATGTCTTTTAAACATTCAGAAGTGATTTACCAGGTTGTTGCCAGGTATGGAAGGTTTGAATGATAAGGAAAGGCTGAATAAGCTGGGACTTTCTTCACTGGAGTTTAGGAGGTTGAGAGGTGACCTGATAGAAGTTTATAAAATATTGAGAGGTAGAGACAGAGTTGATGGTAGTTGTCTTTTCCCTAAGATTGGGAATTTCAAGACTAGGCGGCACATTTTTAAGGTGAAAGGAGAGAAATTTAAAAAAGACAAAAGAGGCATTTTTTTTTAATGCAGAGGGTGTTTCACATTTGGAATGAACTTCCTGCTGAAGTCGTGGATGCAGGTACAATTACAACATTTTTAAAAAAGGATGTTGAGAAACTTGAAAGCGTACAGAAAACATTTACAAGGATGTTGCCAGGGTTGGACGGTTTGAGATACAGGGAGAGGCTGAATAGGCTGGGACTATTTTCCCTAGAGCGTCAGAGGCTAAGGAGTCACCTTTATGGGGGTTTGTAAAATCATGAGGGGCATGGATAGGGTGAATAGACAAGATCTTTTCCCTAGGGTGGGGGGAGTCCAAAACTAGAGGGCATAGGTTTAAGATGAGAGGAGAAAGATTTAAAAGGGACTTAAGGGGCAACTTTCTGATACAGAGAGTGGTGCATATATGGAATGAGTTGCCAGTGTAAGTGGTGGAGGCTGATATAATTACAACATTTAAAAGGCATCTGGATGGGTATAAGCTAGGAAGGGTTTAGAGGACTATGGGCCAAATGCTGGCAAATGGGATTAGATTAATTTAGGAAATCTGGCCAGCATGGACAAGTTGGATGGAAGGGTCTGTTTCCGTGCTCAGTGACTCTAACTGGAGTCCACATGGTGCAGATGCACTGACAATGCTATGCAGAAGAGAGTTCCAGAATGTTAATGCGGTGACAGAGAAGGAACTGTGGTGTGGTTCAAGTGAGAATACATCTGCTCTGCTTGTCCTCCTGGGTAGGAGAGGTCATCAGTTTGGAACGTGTTGTTAAAGGATGGTTGATGATTTGCTACAGTGGTGACAGGCTCACCTATAGTTGCATTAAACCCACCAGTAGCAAGGTGAGACCCTCAAGTGGTCTTTAATTGGCGTTTCAAGGGCCTGATCAGTAATGGATTGGGAAGTTCGATCATTGACCTTCCCAACCAAAATTTAATTCTGACAGAGGCTAATCACCTCTGCACCCTGATTAAAGGCACCTCACCGCCAGCAAGAGCTGAGGATTGCAACTATTATTCTATGTGCTCCTATTAATCTGGCTTGAGTGGGGGTTCAGTAAAAAGTAACCTGAGGTCAATACCCAATATTTCACCAGCTCAGCACTTCATTCAGGACAACTGTATTGATAGGTCACTTTAGCAACACAGATATTCTTGAGCATAAAGCTGTGTAATATTGTGTGTGCATTGCTACAGTAAGAAAATAGACCACCTATTTTCAATTCCCATCATCTGACTTATAGTGCCTTGATTTTTTTCATGGACTAGCACTGACAACATTGACTTAAGGTGGTCGTGGTGATCGTCTAACTAGGTTAAGCCACAACTCATCAAATCAGCCTGAGCCAAATTAACATGATTTCCAAAGGCATTGATACTCAGATCTGCATCTTTCATCTGATTGACACCTTTCTGTATAAATTTCAAATACTTGAGATAAAAGTCATCTGCAGATTATCCAGCAGAGGAAAAAACATGAAGCCAGATCTGGGAATACACAAACATGCTGTATTTCATGTAACTGTTTTATAGGCTGAGCAGGGAAAAGAAGATATAGATTTGTAACAACAGAACTGAAAGACTCTCTATCTCCCTATTTTCTCTTAGCATCTCAAACAACACTTAGCAATAAAGTATATTGGAGAAACATCATTCTTCGAGATCTCAAAGAAGTCAACCAGCTTTGCTGCTGATGAGGATACAAGACATTTAAACAGCCTTAGTCTCAAATTAAATTGAACACCTCAAGGAGACTACCTACCTTTTGATCAGTATATTCTGATCTTCCTTTTTGTGCTAGATGCTCTCCCATTTAAATTATACATGTATGTTTGCATTCATATGCTTTTATTGTGTACTATCACTTTTCACTGGGCTAGTAAATAATAAAATCTCTTTTCCATTCACTCAAGAAACCTTGCAATTGGCTTCTTCAGTTTAAACCAGCAAGCTACATTGCGATATTAGTCTTGGGCTAAAAAAGAAATAAAATCCTCGTCATGGCTAACAAAGTAACTGTAATCACAAGCTTAAAAAGGAATGTATCTGTGGATTATTTTTAAAACATTATTTTCTACCGAACTACTCTTTCCTCCCATCTCTGTTCTTGTTTTGTTTTTTTCCAATCTTCCAGCATTTGTTGCAATTCTCATATCCCAAGAACATGGTATCAAGACTTTGGTTTTGGGCCCACATGAACAATATTGACCTCTCAGGGCTTGACTTCACGTCCTGTCTGTTGTTTTACTTTCAGCCAATTGAGGCCTAAGGATTGACATGACTCCTGACTACTACAGTGAGGTGAAGTTAACACTTCAGCCTGATCAGACCTGCTGCGGGGAATTTGTTCTACGACGTTCAAAATGTTAAGAAAACTAAGATGAAACAAGTCTTTTTTTGTATTAGATCTAATATCATAGAAATCTTAGAATAATAATGATGAAAAATACACTGAGAAATAAAAGGAGAGGTGGTGTCATGGTAATGTTACTAGACTAGTCATTATTATTTCCAGTAATCTTGATCCGTGTGACTCTAACCACACTCTAGAAGCTCAATGTCATCCAGGACAAAGCAGCCCGCTTGACTGGTGCCCCATTCACTACCCTTAACATTCAATCACTTCACCAGTGACACACTTCGACAACAGTGTGTTCCATCTGTAAGATGCATTTCGGTAAGTTATCAAGGCTCCTCTGATAGCACTTTCCAAACCTGCAATCTCTGCTGCCTAAAAGGGCAGGGGAAGCAGATGAATGGGAGCAATCAAATTCCCAAGCAGGCCACACATTGTTCTGACTTGGGGCTCTATCAACATTCCTTCACTGTTGCTGGGTGAAGTTGCTGAAATCCCATCCCTAACAGCACTATGGATGTCCCTCCACCCCAAAGACTGCAGCAGCTGTGGAAAGCAACTCACCAGCACCATCTCCAATGAAAACTGGGCTTCGGCACTAAATGAGATAACCAGGTGTAGAGCTGGATGAACACAGCAGGCCAAGCAGCATCATAGGAGCAGGAAGGCTGACGTTTCGGGCCTAGACCCTTCTTCAGAAATGGGGGAGGGGAAGGGGGTTCTGAAATAAATAGGGAGAGAGGAGGAGGCAGATAGAAGATGGATAGAGGAGAAGATAGGCGGAGAGGAAACAGACCAGCCGAAGAGGTGGGGATGGAGCCAGTAAAGGTGAGTGTAGGTGGGGAGTTAGGGAGGGGATAGGTCAGTCCAGGGAGGACGGACAGGTCAAGGGGGCGGGATGAGGTTAGTAGGTAGGAGATGGGGGTGCGGCTTGAGGTGGGAGGAGGGGATAGGTGGGAGGAAGAACAGGTTAGGGAGGCGGGGACGAGCTGGGCTGGTTTTGGGATGCGGTTGCGGGAGGGGAGATTTTGAAGCTTGTGAAATCCACATTGATACCATTGGGCTGCAGGGTTCCCAAGCGGAATATGAGTTGCTGTTCCTGCAACCTTCGGGTGGCATCGTTGTGGCACTGCAGGAGGCCCAGGATGAACATGTCATCTGAGGAATGGGAGGGGGAGTTGAAATGGTTCGCGACTGGGAGGTGCAGTTGTTTATTGCGAACCGAGCGTAGGTGTTCTGCAAAGTGGTCCCCAAGCCTCCGCTTGATTTCCCCAATGTAGAGGAGGCCACAACGGGTACAGCGGATGCAGTATACCACATTAGCAGATGTGCAGGTGAACATCTGCTTGATGTGGAAAGTCTTCTTGGGGCCTGGGATGGGGGTGAGGGAGGAGGTGTGGGGGCAGGTGTAGCACTTCCTGCGGTTGCAGGGAAAAGTGCCGGGTGTGGTGGGGCTGGAGGGGAGTGTGGAGCGGACAAGGGAGTCACGGAGAGAGTGGTCCCTCCGGAAAGCAGATAAGGGTGGGGAGGGAAAACTGTCTTTGGTGGTGGGGTCGGATAGCAGATGGCGGAAGTGTCGGAGGATGATGCGTTGGATCCGGAGGTTGGTGGGGTGGTACGTGAGGATGAGGGGGATTCTTTTTTGGTTGTTATTGCGGGGACGGGGTGTGAGGGATGAGTTGCGGGAAATGTGGGAGACACGGTCGAGGGCGTTCTCGACCACTGAGGGGGGGAAGTTGCGGTCGAGGACATCTGAGATGTACGAGAATGGAATGCCTCATCCTGGGAGCCATTTCAACTCCCCCTCCCATTCCTCAGATGACATGTCCATCCTGGGCCTCCTGCAGTGCCACAACGATGCCACCCGAAGGTTGCAGGAACAGCAACTCATATTCCGCTTGGGAGCCCTGCAGCCCAATGGTATCAATGTGGATTTCACAAGCTTCAAAATCTCCCCTCCCCCTACCGCATCCCAAAACCAGCCCAGCTCGTCCCCGCCTCCCTAACCTGTTCTTCCTCCCACCTATCCCCTCCTCCCACCTCAAGCCGCACCCCCATCTCCTACCTACTAACCTCATCCCGCCCCCTTGACCTGTCCGTCCTCCCTGGACTGACCTACCTCCTCCCTACCTCCCCACCTACACTCACCTTTACTGGCTCCATCCCCGCCTCTTTGACCTGTCTGTTTCCTCTCCACCTATCTGCTCCTCTATCCATCTTCTATCCGCCTCCCCCTCTCTCCCTATTTATTTCAGAACCCCCTTCCCCTCGCCCATTTCTGATGAAGGGTCTAGGCCCGAAACGTCAGCTTTCCTGTTCCTCTGATGCTGCTTGGCCTGCTGTGTTCATCCAGCTCTACACCTTGTTATCTCAGATTCTCCAGCATCTGCAGTTCCTACTATCTCTTCGGCACTAAATGCTTTCCTAAAGGGCATTGCCTCCTTCTCATGAACGAGTAAAGATAATGTCATGTGAGTATACCTGCACCAGATGGATGGTAATGGTTCGAGAAGACAACTCACTACCACCTTCTGAAGGGCAATAAATGCTGGCCTGGGTGACAAAGCCTGCATCTCTTCAATGAATAACACAAAAGTCACAGGGTCAGTCTAATACCCTGCAAGCACAGGTTCAAATCCGAGAGTGATGGCTGATGGAATTTACAGTTAATTAATAAAATCTGAGATTGAAAGCTGGTCTCAGCAATGGTAACCGTGAAAGTGTCATCAACTGTCACAGAAACCTCTCTGGTTCAGTGCTATCCCTTAGGGAGGGAATCCTGAGGTCCTTATCCAGACTGCCTATATGTGACTCCAGTCTCACAGCTGTGGGATTGATTCTTAACATCACTCAGAAACAGACAGCAAGTAACTCAGTTCAAGAACAATTAAGGACATGCAACAAATGTTGCCCCTAGCCAGCAATATAGAATTTTTCTATTCATCTTGTTAACATGCAGTAAATATTATTCCCCTTACTGATTCATATCATGGCAGCCCGTCTTGCAGAAGGTTTTATTGCAATGATGTTCCTCTTACAGAATACTTTTCTCGGAATGTTGTTCTTCATGTTATTGACCTTCATATTCTTTATTACAGACCATCGGAGATAGCCGAGGGTTTTGTACAGCTGCTTGAAGATGACAGCTTGAATGGAGCAGTCATGAAAATTACAACATCAAAGGGTATTCATTTTGAGAACTATTAACGAAGACCACCTCTCAGCACTGGACTATCATTGACCTAACTTGCCAATCGGCAAGAAATGTTTGTTTGCAAAGTTTCCTACACTGGCTCCCAAACGTGCAAACCTTTCTACTGCAGTAAATTGGTAAAGAGAATTGTACATATAAAAAGGCAATATATAAAGCTGACATATATATATGGGGAAACAAATTCTGATTTATTCCAGCCTTATTATGTATCATTTTCAATGTACAAAAGAAAATTGCCATTTTAAATTAAAATTGTTATAAATGTATGCTTCTGCTCATGAATTGGAACAGATCTAGGAAGATTTGTGTTTCCAAACCACCAACACCTCAACGCGTTAGTGGTGTTAAGGTATTTGAGATCATCATTACTTTAAGTAGGAGGAGACTGTCATTAAATTCTCACTTCATTCTGTGAGGGTAATTGTGGAAATATCATGTCTCTGCTGGCCTTTTGAACAAACTATCCAATTAGGTCCACACCCCAGCTCTTTCCATAAAAATGTGCAAACCTATCCCCTTCTGAAGAAGAGATAGTAGGAACTGCCGATGCTGGAGAATCTGAGATAACAAGGTGTAGAACTGGATGAACACGGCAGGCCAAGCAGCATCAGAGGAGCAGGAAAGCTGACATTTTCTGAAGAAGGGTCCAGACCAGAATCGTCAGCTTTCCTGCTCCTCTGATGCTACCTGGCCTGCTGTGTTCATCCAGCTCTACACCTTGTTATCCCTTCTGAAGAAGCGTCACTGGACTCAAAACGTTAACTCTGCTTTCTTTGTAAAGTTGCTGCCAGACCTGCTGGGTTCCTCCAGCAATTTCTCTTTTTGCTTGTTTCAGATGACAAGCATCTGCAGTTTTTTGCTTTAGTTTATCCTTCAAGTATTTATTCATGGGAATGTAAGTTAGTTCAGTTGCCTGGATAGCTGATTTGCAATGCAGCGATGCCAATGGCGTGCATTCAATTCCCATGCTAGCTGAGGTTATCATGAAGGAACCTCCTTCTCATCCTCTCCCCTCACATGGTGACCTTCAGATTAAACCACCATCCATTGTCTCTCTCTAATCAAGAGCAGTCCTATGGTCTGGCAAGACTGTGATGACTTTACCTTTCATTTACAGGTATTCTGCTAGAACATGTGTTTTGTTAACGCGAATTGGCTGTAACACGATCGATGAATAGTGGACTCTGGATAACACAAACTTTCTGCTGTACGGTATAGCAATTTCCCTATAACACGATTTTCTATGGTGGTTTCTATAGCGCAATTTTCTATACCATAAGGTCACACAAGAACACAGCTATTGTGTTCTAGGAGACTACCTGTATTCAGTTTCCCTTTGGAAGCTGTACTTAAATCTGCACTAATGTATGACAGAATGAAACTTTTAGTTGCCAATTGCTGTTATCACCTTATTTTGTTGTATGCCAGCATTGCCAACATATTGGAAATGTTAGATGTGTCAGAACCATTTGGGATACTCTAGGTAGATTCATCACCACCAATCCATCTTACTGATATGAGTCAAACTACTGATACCACGTGGGGAAGGATGCCCAGATGAGTCCTGCAACAGAAGCTAGGCCCTGGCTTAGTTAAATAATAAGGGCTCATTGCATATCACTTAGTAGCTAGTTATATTACATTGAAAATATGATTGTCTCCCGTGAGAAACTTGGTGAAATCTGATAAACTTCTCAAGCAAAGTTGGCTTTCTGTTCCCATTATCCCTGGTGGCGTTTTCAATTTTCAACTTTACCACTGTCTGGATAGCTTTTTCCAATGAGAAATCATCTCTTGATGTAACATGTATGACTGACAATGTTTGTCCAGGTGCACAGAGGCTTTTTAAAGATGGCACCAGCGCCAGGGGTGCAGGTCCAAATAGGTATATCTCAGTAGAGTCAAGTTGTTCTGG